AAAAAAAAAAAAAAAAAAAAAAAAAAAAAAAAAAAAAAAAAAAAAAAAAGCAACGGCCAGACAGTTCCAATGCGCCATATATGAGCTTGGGTGCTTTATTTTGCCTATGCCTTTGATTTAAAAGTACCTTTCAGATCATGAATTGCAAGCTAAGAAATGGAGTTCATCATGAACTATGCCAACATTTTCAAACAAATAGTAACATTAGAAGGTGAAGAATGAGCTACCTTGGATGTGTTTGCTGTCCAATTCCGACATCCCCGACGAGCTTCCACCCTGTGATTCGGCGGAGCACTGAGAACCAGGCTGTCCGAGCCCCGGTAAACCTCTGCTGCCGCCGCCACCGCCCGATGTACAACCACCTTTCCCTTTGACAACTTCATCCACAATTCCGCCGATAACAGCCTGTCGAGCACCCGCCGGCCACGTTGTCGACCCGAACGGCGGCGACACTGTTGTCAAAACACCCGAACCAACCCTTTTCTCTCTCAAATTCAATCCAGCAAGGCCTCCAATTTCACGCCTCTCTTCTTCAAAACACCCACCACTCCCCATCCCAATTCCATCCTTATTCCTCTGCTTCTCAAACCTCCTCCTCTTCGCCTCCATTCGCCTCAACGTCTGCAATTCCTTCCTCTTCCTCCACTCCTCTTCCGTCTCTGGCGGAAGAGACGACGTCCGAATAAGCCCCGGGTACGATACCGCCGTTGGAGTCGATGCCTCATCGTCCCTCAAACGCATCGTCCCAGCAATCGACGACGACCGAACAAGCATCTTGGAATTCTTGTCAACCCCAAATCGACCCCCAAGTGAAAGCCCAAGATTCAGCTCAATCTCCTCTGCATCACCCTCTTCATTAAACGCCCCAATTTGGGGCTGATGTGAATTTCTACACAAAAATCTCTGCAACAGATCTGTTGGGTACTTCTCAGTTTGCAGAGGAACCTTCTCCATTCCTCTACTTCCTCCTTCGTTGGCTTCCCCCATGGTTCAATTCAAAACAGAGCGACCCAAAATGTTCATAAACCATCACGATCTTGTTTATTAGCTAAACCCATAAAGAATAAAGAAAGATATGATGAATCAAAACAAAACCCAACACTCAAACTAGCAGGAAAAACACATCAAAATATGATCTCAGATCACATTTCCATATAAAAAATGAGAGAAAGAAGATGAAAAAGCTTTCCATTCCAACAATGATTCCTCAAATAGTTGAAATAAAAATAAAAAAATCTGGAGGGAAATCAAAATATGAACAGTGTTGTAAAAGATCTCCAACAAAGTGGAACAGCAAAGGAAAGAAGGAGAAAAAAAATTAAAGAAAGAGAGCGCAAAAATAATTGACGAGTGAAAGAGAAATTGAAGGAAACAGAGAAGCGGAGAGAGGAAAAAGGAGGAACTTTTTCTCTCCTCCCCCCATGAAAATTTTAATTTTTAATTTTTTTTTTTTTTTTTTAAATGTTGTACCGAAAATACCCTCCAGGGAGAAAAATGCCTGCAGGGGACAAGTGGCATCCTAAGTCGTAGTAGAAGGACACGTGTCCGACCTGACACAAAATTTCTTCATCTTTTTAAAAAACTCCGCTTTCGTCCTTTTGGCGTGCCTACCAACAATTTTTCATTTAAAGACACGTGTCAAAAATATAGCGAATAATCATAAATTCCACGTATAGGTCAAAGCTAAACGTCTTGACTGTTCGACACGTGGGCATATGGATATGGGCGACGAAACGGTGTTTGGTTTTTTTCCTCGGCTCTCTCTATCCTTTTCCACGCGGTCAAATAAAACCCGCTAGAAGTCAACGAGAAATCAAGCGATGGATCGGCGAGGAGATTCGGAAAAACAGGGACCCACGTGAGGCAAGTTGCAAGGTTTTTTTTTTTTTTTTTTTTTTAATTAATATTAAATTGCCAAGTTGGGAGAGTGGGGCCCGCGGGTAATGTTGGGTGAATGGACACGTGTCGAGGTGGGTGAGGTTGGGAAATACTTTAGAGCGTGTCAATAATCAACTTGTTGAATGCGACGGCTCGGCTGTTCCTTGCCAACTTGCTGACACTAAGCATGTCCTTCTGTCGGAAAACAATTAGTTTAATTAATTTTATTTATTTATTATTATTTTTCCTTTTTTTTTTTTTTAAAAAAATTTATTTATTATTATTTTGCCTTTTTTGATTCCTCGAGTTTTCACTATTTTTGTAGTCTTATCATCAGAATAATCTTTCCTTCTTTTATGAGACAGGAAAATCGTGCCAAATATATTTTTTGCTTTATTATAAAGTTTATTTAAATTATAAATTTAACTTCTTTCCATTAAAGTAATTATGAGATAAATTTCACTATTTATTTATTTATTATTTAAATAAAATCACTTTTATAGACATAATTTAAACTAATTAATTTGTTTTGATTTTATATCCTCTCTTAATATTATTATATGAAATTACAATGGACAATTGGTTGTGAAAAGTTATTAAAAAAAAGCTCCCGGCGAGGATCGAACTCGCGACCTTTCGCTTACGAAGCGAACGCACTACCACTATGCTACGGAAGCGTTTGTTGGTAGGCTTTTGTATAAATATTTTATAAAGAGTTAAATTTATGGTTTCTACTTTTATTTTCCTTAGAACTGCGACAGAACCCGCCCTCGCTGTGCGGGGGCGGCGGCAATGTGTGGAATCGCTTTGGTCGTTTCTGGCTGTCGCCTTGATTTATCGTCTCTACATGTAGACGCCAGAGCTCCGTCTCCTCATCCAGTGCACGAGCATGTATGTATTCTTGGTCTCGCTGTTTTCTTCTCATTCGTTATTATTTGGATATCTTGCTGTGGCGCGAATTCAAATTTGGCTCTTAACACTTTCTTTGTGATTCTGGATTGATTTTAGTTGCGTTTTCTTGCTCCAGCTCGAGTTTTCGATAGATGATCTTAAAGCGGCATTGCGGAGAAGGGGCCCCGATAGCTTAGGCGAAGTGAAGGTTTTTATTTCCTCAATATGTTCCAATCCTGGTGAAGAGCAGCAGTTTGAGTGTTTCGTTGAGAGGGTTGATTGTGGAGTTGCATTTCAGAATCAAAATGATCAACACGAGATGGCAAATGGAAGGATTCTCCAATCACATGCCAGTTGTAGTAGTCCCATCTCTGGTGC